GGGCAGTGGGGTTCCACAGGGCTCGGTCCTCGGGTCTGCACTGTTCAACATCATCAATGATTTGGACGAGGGGGTAAAAAGCACCCTGTTCAAATTTGCTGGTGACACTAAGATGTGGGGGGACGTGGGCACACTAGAAGGAAGCAACAGGCTACAATCAGACCTAGACAGGTTACAGGGGTGGGCAGATGAGAATAGGATGGGATTCAACACAGAGAAGTGCAAGGTGATGCACCTGGGGAGGAACAACCGGCACCATACCTACAGGTTAGGGAACTCCCCTCTTGTCAGCACGGAGGCGGAAAAGGATCTTGGAGTCATCATTGACTCCAAGATGAACATGGGTCGGCAGTGTGGGGAGGCAGTTAGGAAGGCCAACCGTACCTTGTCATGCATCCACAGATGCATCTCGAGCAGGTCCAGAGAGGTGATCCTCCCCCTTTATGCGGCACTGGTCAGGCCGCAGTTGGAGTACTGCGTCCAGTTCTGGGCGCCGCACTTCAAGAGGGATGTGGACAGCATGGAGAGGGTCCAGAGGAGGCCACTTGCATGATCAGGGGACAGCAGGGCAGGCCCTATGAGGAGAGGCTACGGGACCTGAACCTGTTCAGCCTCCACAAGAGAAGGCTGAGGGGGGATCTTGTGGCCTGTTATAAACTAGTCAGGGGGGATCAGCAGGCATTGGGGGAGTCCCTGTTCCCCCGAGCACCGCCAGGAGTGACCAGGAATAACGGTCACAAGCTGGCAGAGGGTAGGTTTAGGCTAGACATCAGAAGGCGCGACTTCCTGGTCAGGGCGGCTAGGGTCTGGAACCAACTTCCAAGAGAGGTGGTGCAGGCTCCTACCCTGGGGGTTTTTAAGAGGAGGTTAGATGAACACCTTGCTGGGGTCGTTTGACCCCAGTACTCTTTCCTGCCATGACAGGGGGTTGGACTAGGTGATCTGCTCAGGTCCCTTCTGACCCTAGAAACTATGAAACAGTCCTCCAGAGTGGCTGATAAGTGGCCAGAACGGCAAGCCTCAACAGATGATTATCTGATCATTAGCAAACGCTGTGCACAGTAAACAGGCTGCTTCTCCCCCCTGCCTGTCCCCCAAGTCTTGCATAGCCTTTATAACTCAAGTGCATCTAAAGGGTTCACCCATCCAGGGTTTTGGCCATGGGCGCAGGCAGGAAGCAGCAGAAGTCATCAGGGGCAGTTGGAGAGAAAGAGAGATGGACACTTCTGCTTCCCACCCCCTGACAATGCCCAGCAAGCACTGAGGATCCCCTCTTCTTGAGCCCAGAGCCTAGACAAAGAGCATACTCACAAGCAAGAAACTTGTGGCGCTCCCATTAGGGCTGGAAGTGGAAGGGACTTCACAAGGCCACTCAGTCCAGCCTCCTGCTCAAGGCAGGATCATCCCTGACTAAACCAGCCCAGCCATTATCTGCACCACTAACAACATTGGTAGAGCGCTGCTGGATGGCACATGAAAACCTTGTGGATTTTCATGACAAATTGTCAAGCTGTTTGTCCCCAGGGTGCAGGATGTATTCACCGCTATAGGGCTGATCAACCTAAGGCTTCATTAGTGACATTGCAACAGGAGTTTTCAACACGAAAAAAAAAATCAGGTGGATTAAAAACAGTTCTGCTATTACAGCCAGTGTCTAAAGCCTCTGCGGTTCCTGCCAGAGCAAGGGACAAATCCGACTGCCGCATGAACCATTTCCACTGTTCATCTTTCAGCCATTTGCTTCTATTGCCCACTTCCTTATAAACCCACAAGTCTGCTCCACCACCGAAAAGCCTCTTGCCTTATGCCCTTTCTTTTCAAGAAAGGGACAGTCCTGGCTGATCTGAACAAAAGGTGAGTCCAGGTTAAGTGCTTAGAAATGGCTGGGTAGAGAAGAGGGAGAAGTCATTGCACTGAGAACTGCTCAAGCGGGTGACAAAAGGGAGTTAGGAACACATGCATCTTCTAAGCTGAGCGGAGCTGAGCTGGGCACTGCACCTAGCCAGGGTTTCACTGGGTACCTGTCCATATATGCGATTCGGTTTCTTCCCTCGACAGCTGAGTAGGGCCCATCGCTTGTACTTCACATTGCAGACATGAACGTCGTTGCCGTTACTCTCACCGAACGGGATCCCAGTGCCGCCAAACACCAGCAGGTTGTTACCATGCAATACAACTAAGTGGGAGGGAAAAAAAGCACAGGTTTGGGCTACGTGCAGAGCTACGTGCCGCTCTGCAGGAAGGAAAGGGACTGAGCGGCTCTGCCTCTGCTAAAGCACTGAGGCCAGACAGGTGACACTCGGTATGCTGCACTCCGTGCTTGGTATTAGGATCATGCCGTTCTGGACAAAAGGTGAGTCCAGGTTAAGTGCTCAGATACCATGGAAACAGGGCCCTGCACTTCCAGACAACTAGTGCATTTGGGAGGCTTTGGGATCCCTGAGATGCTGGAAAAGGGGCTGATTTTTAGAAAGGGCTGTGCACTGGCCCTCTAAGACAAATTAAAGCCTTTCAAGGTGTCAGGCTCGGCACCCAAAATCCCTATTGAAGAATCTGGACTGGGCTTGGAAAATGCTGGTTTGAGCTGGTAAACAGAGAGAGGAGAGAGACAGACAGACAGAAAGAGAGAAAGGGAGCCAAAGAGACTGAGTGAAGGAGACAGCAAAAGAAAATGAGCCAAAGAAAATGAGCGAGAGAGAAAGAGAAAACAGGGCCAGGGTAATAAGTGATTTGTCAGCAGACACACAGGAGTCAGACTGGAGTCCAGAACCCCCATTTTCACTCCTCGCCCCCACGCGAGTGATTCACAACCTGGCCTCAGGGTAACGGCATTCCTGTACTCACGTGACATGGAGGCGAGTTCCCTGGGCATGTAGCCTTCTGTGCCCATTTGATGCCATGTGCCCGTGGCAAAGTTGTAGCGCCAAAGCTCCCTGAACAGTGGGTAGTCTTCATTCTCTGGCCCTCCAGACTCATCATAGTCTGGATTATACCCTCCAAACACATACAGGTTGGCATTGTCTGCTACGCACCGATGGCCGCTCCTTGCTGGCGGGGCTCTGTAACCTGGATGGGGAAGAAGTCGTTTTGACTTGGTTATGCCCAGAAGAAGGAAAGCAGCTCCAGTAGGGAAGGAGACGCTTGTGGGCCACAGAGGCTCAGAAGGAAGCCGATTAGAGCGAATGAAATGCGAGTTTCTGTCCAGAACGGCTGGAGGCCGAGATAAGAGGCTGTTTGCATTAATGAGCCGATAGTCAGGATTTCCCTAATGAGACACCCACCTCTACACACACCCCTTATCTTGCATTCAACATCACATCCTCTAAGAACATACGTGCCATCCTGGGTCAAACCAGTGCTCCACCTAGTCCAGCATCCTGCTTCCAATGGGGCAGAAGCAGATGCTGTACAGGGACACCATCCGACCAGATATCCCTAGAGTGATCTATTCTTTATTCCCTGGATTCCACCATTTACTGGGCTAGAGATGCCAGAGGAAACATCTCCAACAGCTCAGATTTCTGTGTTCAGTTTCCAAGCATTTCATGCTATAAAATGGAAGGGAAATGAATACAGCTCTTGCTTTGGCCTGTCTCTTCCTCTGCCCCCCTTTGTTGCTAACTCTGGCTGAGTCACACCTGGATTGCAAGCTCGCTCAGGTGCCTCTGGAAAGCACCTCATGCACCTGTGAACCTGCTGAGTTAGCAACACAGCTCCCAAACAACCCCACAGCAAGTTCCTGATAGGCAGGAATGAAGGTTTTAGCACTCCCAGGCCTGCTAGGAGTGTAACAGGGAGCCCAGGTGAGAACAGAAGCGGAGCAGGATTCAGCTATTCATGAGTACTTCAAATAGGACAGGTGATCCAAGAACGCAAGCTGAAGCTGACAGCAAGCCCCTATCAGTCTCTCTCCCATCAGCAGGCAGCAAGAACTTGGATAGGAGTGTCCTGCAGCTCTATTGCCCTTAATGCAGGACCAGACTTGCTTCCCCTGTGTCTCTTCTCTGCTTCCACAACAGTGCAGGCCTGCTGGAGCATTGCTCCATGAAACGCACAGATCAGCAGCTCAGACAGCGGGGAAGGAGGTCCCACCTGAACCAGCACGAAGGAGATGCAGTCGCGCTGTCACCAATACCTCCTTTCAACTTCCCCGAGAGATTGAGGCCGCGAGGAAAGGAGCGAGACAGCCGAGTTCTTGTTGGACAGGAGCATATGAAGTCGCAGGCAATAAACAAGCAAGCAATAAAATACTTCCCAGCTTATGTGAACATACAATGAGAGTCTGGCAGTCACACAGCAGGATGCTTCGTGACTCAGAGCCAGAGAGGAAAGGGCCGGAGCAGGCAGCTTTTTCCCCGAGCCACCACCACTGGGCTGAAATGCTCACCGGAAAGCTCTACCTCTACCCCGGATCTCCGGAGTATATATTAACAACCTTTTGCAGCAGCAGGTTGCTGGCTGCCATGGTCCCCCTGCTTTCCCTGTGGTAGGTTCAGGTGTTGCGCTGCATCAGGGTTGACTGTAGTTTTACTAAGAGGTTCGATTATGGATTTGTACAGGATGGTTTGGACAGAGATGATCCTGCCTCAGGCAGGGGTTGGACTACATTGGGGTGAGCGATTATTCAGGCTGGAGGGCCCTTAAGCAGTTTTGATGAGCTGTTGTGGCCTGTGTGAGAGGAAGGGCAGGTGATGGCCCAGCTCAGTGCGGCAGCCGGTGGGAGGAGCGACAATTGATGCTATCTGGCCCCAGGCCTGTCCATGCCTCATCCATCACTGGGGCACTGAACAGAGCGGGCAGGGTGTACAGGCTGGGGCTGTGGGCGGGCAGGAAGTGGCACCCGGTAGCAGGAAAAGGCAGGGCTGGCAGAGCTGTGATCCACTCCCCGCATGTCTCTGCGATGGGCACTGGTTCTGTGGGCAGGACATGCAGGGAGTGAATTGCAATTTGGCCCTGGCCCCACACTGTCACCGCCCCGAGATCCTGGTTTTAGCCCCGGCCCAGCCTGCCCAGCCCGCTCCCGGACACTGCTCCCTGCCCACCCGCAGCTCCATCCCATCCCCTTGGCTGAGCACACCCTGCCCATGGGGGCCCATGAAGACCCCGCCTGCCCACCTGCTCCATCCAGTGCCCCTGGAGGTGGCTGCAGGGCAGGCTGGCAGCGGCACCTGCCACAGGCCAGATGAAATCCCTTGGCAGGCTGGACCTGGCCCACAGGCCATAGTTTGTCCACTCCTGGACCAGATGACCAATGAAGGTCCCTTCCCACCCTCCTCCTCTACGATTCTATTTACAATTATGAAAGGGAGATCAAAGCCCCTATGTGGTGACACTGCTGGTTAGCATACATAGCACCACTTGTCTTTGCCCGGCTTCCCTTTATCAGCACAGCAAAAACCAAAGCCCCCGGCTCCCAGCGTTAGAAGCCATGCTGATACACACCTGATAAGCTACAAGAACAGCCTGGTCTCAGCTTCCCACACTTCATTGGCACTCATCATATCCCTACTCAGAGCCTGAGCTCTGCAGTTGACACCTCATTAAGGCTGTTTATACCACTACTCAGAGAACCCTGCCTCTAAGAGTAGGCTTTGGCACAGCTGCTGACAGCACTGCACTGACAGTGGTGGAGATGGGCTAAAACAGAGACGTCAGAGACATGGCTCGTGGAGATGCAGAGCCCTCTCTGAGCAGTCTGGGACCATACTGCATGCATCTCACATCCCTGACCAGCCAGAGCAGGCGCCATGCACACTGGATACAGCATGGGGGGGGCCTGTGGGCCTGCTCCATCGTGCGGGGTCAGCCTCACACCATTCAGCCAGCCCATGGACCAGTCCTGCACCACTCTTCTGCTCCACAAAGCCAAATGAGTTTGACAGCCCTGGGTTAAAAGGATCAACATCCCCCCCCACTGCAAGAAAGTAGGCAATTTTCTGATGGATGAAGGTGCCTGCTATGTGCACGTCAGACTGGAACAGAGAACAGGGTCTTTTAGCCTTGCCACATAACCAATTTAGGTTGAAACATCAGGCCTCTCTCGGGAAGATTTTAAGGTCTCTGATCCAACAGTTCAGTCACTTGAGCAATACACTGTTGGACACTTGGTAAAGAAATTCTTCCAACTATTTTGTTGGGAGGCCCTGGCAAAGATGTGGCAGGAGGGTGACCTGGTGTCTGGGAGATGCCTTCAGCTGTCCTGGAGAAAGCTCACCCGAATGTGGCAAAAGTCACAAGCCTTTATTCTTGCTTGTTTATCTTCAGAAACATGGACACAATCCCACACCTCGGTTCACATCTGTGCAAAGATTTACTGGTTACTTAAGAGCTTGGCGGTTATCTTCAACACATTTTATGCTCCATACCAGAAATGCAGGAGCTGAGAAGAGAGTCCCTGTAACTTCATCTCTCCCAGCCGTCAGGGCACTGGGCAGCAACACAGAGATCAGGCAACATACCCTCAATGTCCTTTATATCCCACCAGGGAAGTCGGCAAGGTTATGGGACCCATGATAATCACCAGTAAATACTCCCTTTCTGAACATGGCATTGGACTCTGAAATCTCAAGTCTCTAAATGCCTCTGTTGTCAGCAAATAGCCGTGAAACCTCCTGGCAAAATATATCTACATCTATCTCAGACCTCATCCCGCAACTGGTCCCTAGGAAAGATAAGAGCCCAGCTCAGGTGAAATGGTGGAGCGGGATGGTATGCCCCCTGTCAATGACCCACACTGGGCATCAATAAAACAGATGCCCTCAAGTGGAACTATAGCCAGTTGATTTTTAATGAATAAAGGAAATCTCATGAAAAGCTGACATAGCATTAAGCTTGCAAAGTCAGATGCCTGAGAATCAGCAAGAGCCAAAATTAACATTACAGTCATGCATATGCACGATGCAGTCAGTAACCACACAACTATTCCCAGCTCCTGACGGACCTCTGCCTCATTCGGTGAAGAGGACGGACAGACAGACAGACAGCTTGGGAAAGAATGAGGGTGGCACAAAGAAATGAGGCTGTTTTCTGTTGCATCCTGTCTCATTTGCTGCCGAAGCTAAAAGATATGTAATGCATGGGAACAACGTGAAAAGTGAGACTGGGCTCACAGTTAGGGAAACCCAGAGGACTGGATTCTACTCCTGTCACCACTGCAGAGTTCCTATACGAAGTCCCAGACAGCCCCCAAACTACAGGTCAAGGGTCACTGATACCAGACTTTTCAAAGAGCATCAGTTGTCTTCTTTATCCCCTGGATGCCCAATCTAAGACAGCTAGGAGACAATGATTTGCCCAAGTGCTGAATGCTCTTAGCTACAGTGGAAGTCAACTGGAGCCGAGCATGCTGAAAAGCCAAAGCCCAAGGGCATGTCAAGTTTGGCACCTGACAGTTTTGATCATAATCTCTCTCTGAGTGCCCCAGCTGGGCAATAAAATCTTAGCACCTCTGACCCCATCATCTGTAGGCCAAAGAGCTGCAGTCAGCATCCAATTACATTTTCCACCTCTCCACCCTCCTCCATCACAATAAGTAGCAAGGGCTGAACTCACTGTTAAGTTGCAGAAACTTATCAAAGTCCTATTGAAACTTATCAAAGTCCTATTTGCCAGACGACAAAGCCAACATATTTAATAACTTCTTTGC